TGACCACGGAGACTGTCTGCGGACAAAAATGCTGGCTTCCTCGGCTAGGAAACGGAGATGAGCACCGCCCCCTAGAGTCAGGCATGACTGGACTTAATGTCAAGGGGAAACCTTTACCTTTACCTAAGGAGTAACAACTAGTCCTTTTCGGGGCAATGAACTCTTGACAACTAGAACTATACAGGAGACAGAGCTGGTTCCCTGGTACATCACTGAGCACTGCTTAGCTAGAGTAAGCACTTCACTACAGGTATTAGTAAAGTCTGAGTTCTTATGATGTTCTCTACTGAATGCATACATTTACTTTTAAAAACAAGTATCCCTACTGTTGCTTTATGTCTGCTTCCTGGGATTTTTTTAAGCTTCAAAGAGAAGGCTTTCTCAGTGGTAGGGCCCTGCCCCCCCACTGAAACCCAGCTGGTGCCAACACTGCCATCTTTCTGGCACCAGTTCAGAACTGCCCTCTACTCCCAGACATTTGGATTGATTCCATAAAGGAAGCCTCAACCTTGAATTTGCAAGATGTGAGCAGGGCGGTCATGGAGAGGACATTTTGAAGGGTGCTCATTTGCAGGGCCACCATAAGTCATAGACAGCTTGATGGCACATAACAGTACTAGCACAGGATGGGACACCTATGTCAGTCCTCTCAGGAACATGTCTACTATTTCTATTGAAATTGTTTTTAGCTTTTAAATTGTTTTAAAATTTGTATGTTGAAATGGTATGTTGTATTTTATTATCTGTATTTGTGGTTTGTAATTTTATGGATTGTTATGAAGTGCCCAGTGAACTTCAGCTGTTGGATAGTATAGAAATGAAATGAAAAAGGATATCTTTGCCATATGTGCATCTGTTGCTTTGGTCTGAAGCTACTGGCCTGCTGGCTCTGACATGGTCCCAAGAATTCATGGGTTGAACAACCCATGAACTGGCATTACAAGTGAAGTGGGTCATAGATTGTTCCAAAGCATTACTGTATCTAGAAGGGTGAGGCTGGAGCTGGCAGGGTCATATGAGAGAAGTTGGTCCTTTATCTATCCTAGCGGTACAGGTACTTTTAGTTTTAATTTGGATTTCAATGGTCAGAAGCAGAACTAAATACTTTTTTTCAGTTTGAATTGAGCTTGGAAACTATCTAGAAGCCAGCGAATACCTTTGAACATTGGTATGATATGTTCATGGCCTTAAGTACCAATTCACAATCTGGTTGCTGTATTCTGTTAACATTTTCAGACATTTTTCAAAGGCAACCCAAGCCCTGCCTACATAGTAGTGTAGCCTAAATGTTATTGCAAGTGAGATAGCTATGGCCTGGTCAATTCTCTCACACAGCTGATGCACCAACATTTATTGGTAAACGGCTTAATGAGCTACAGATGCTACTTGTGCATCCAAACTGAATCCAAAAATGCCTCCTGACTATAAACCCAGTCATTAAAGGCAGGTGCAAACTGCTCTAGTACAGGTCAAATACTGCTTACATGTTTGGGTAACTCATTTAATTTGTTCCGACACTCATCCTGGCATCATGTTTTGATTTGTTTTTAAATGGTATCTGACAACAGCCAGGAGCATGAGAATTGCCCCTGGTAGGACTGCAAAGCGGTTAGCAACAGTGACAAAAAGCCTGAGCATGAGATATTTTCCATAAAATCTTCCTCCTTTGCCCATATGCACAAACCAGAGCTTTCCTTATGAGCTAAAATCATTGCTGAGGAATGTTTGGCTTTGCCTGTTTGTTCTCCAGCCACCTGATGGATGCAATCTGGAGTGCCGTCAGCATTGTGACTTGGTGGAGGGTGGAGCTGCAGGACAGCATGCATGTATACATGCAGCATGTCATAGTCCTGCTGTGAGCATGGAGTCAACATGGAGGTGCCTGCCCTATAAAGAAGCTCTGAGAGTGAGTTTCACTTTGTGATCTCAGAAGTAAAGCTGCTGCATCTTTCTCCACTCCCTCTATGTAGACTGGATATACAGCAGAATTACCATATCTGAACAAGAATTCACAATACTTACCTTGTAAAACCCAAAATGCAGTGGCAACACTTTTGGTGGATCATCTAGTTATGCCCCTTGAGTTTGTTGGGGCTGCCATAACACTCCTTTTGAAGTTACTCACACACTTTTTTAGTGCTGTTTAGACACAGCACAAATTAGGGGCAGTGTTGCAGTCATCAGGCAAAACATGAGAAAGCTGTTAATTTTATTGCATTATTAACCCAACTTTCCTCCGAGGAGTTCAGGTTCATTTTAGTTTACTCTGAGGTTAGTATTCTCGTCTTCATATTCCTACACTCTGCGCACATGGAGAGGGAGTGGGAAGGCACCCACCTGGCAGGGATGAGATTCTTCTTGAAAATTTTGAACTGGAAGATTTTCTGGAAAAATTTACCCATGCTAACGAAATTAATTACGCCCTGAAGTAGTATTCCCCAACCTTGTGCATGCCAGATATTTCGGACTACAACTTCCAGCATTTTTAACTACCAGCCATGCTGGCTGAGGCTGATGGGATTAAAGTCAACACATTTAGAGCGTACCATATTAAGGAAGACTACACTACAGAGTAATCTAATTTTGTATATTTATTTTACTTCCATTTAGTAAACAACAAAGCTTCAAAATTACCCCATGTTAATTTGGTGCCAGCAAAAGTTAGATCTCACATGTTTTGTACTACTTTAACTACTAGATGCTCTTGCCAGCATTGCCAGCATCCAATAATGCCGTGAGTTGAAGTTCAAAGCATGTGGCATTCTTTCTGTCTGTCCCTGCTATATGCCACACATATTTGATCTGAAATATCTGAGAAAGAAAATGAACACACACTTGGGATGTAATTCTTTTGCCTCCCGACATTAGGGAGGGGGCACAGGTTGGGTCCAAGTCTCAGTTCCAGCCTTCCATTCCAAGGTTAGAGCTAGGACTCTGGTCTGATTGGGTCGTCTTCTGTCCTCACAACCATCACAGTTCTTTCCACACCAGCTGCATTCCAGAGATGGAAGACCATCTTTGGAGCTGGGTGTGGGGGAGCTGTCCAAAAAATTTGAAGTGCCTCAGCCTCTTGTCATGAAGAAAAGAATATTTGGATGGCCAAAATGGAACAACTAAAAGTTCTGGAGGTTGAGGGCGGCACAGAAGCAATTCTAGCCTCTGCACTCCCTCCTCTGCCATGGGATGCCTGCAGTCCTCCAGGTTCAGAGGTTTAGGGAAGCCACACTGGATGGGAGCCCTGTGAATGCAGCCCTAGGCATTTTTAGGCAGAAAAACGCCTGCCACCCTCTGCATTCCTCAGCCAGCACAGCTTTTTTTCTGTCAAAGTATACCTAGGATTGCCCCCTTTGCGTGATTTAAATGTTATATTGTGTTGAATTTTGTATTAGAATACTTGTACAAAGACAAGAACGTGCAACCCCTTAGACTCTTTAAATTTAGGGGGGTGGCAGGGGAAACAAAACTACTGACAATTATTGACAAGCTAATAAGTTACATCAACCGAAAGAACTGTGTATGATACGCTGACAACCACTCATCTGCAATTTTTAAAGTGCCAAGCTAGGTTTATTTGGTTTGTTTGGCCCTGGTTTACACATTACAGAAAAATAGTAATTGATGATATAGTCATTATTGATTTTGCCTGATCTGTAACTAATCTGAAATGCTATAATGTTAGTGTTTGTTTGGGTTGCTTCTTAGTGTAATTATGTACTTAATTGGCATATTAATATGCTTTCTTTTATTGCTCTGAACCTTCCAGACAGCTTCAGCTGAATTGAATTTAAGCTGTTACATGGAAATGTACTAGATGTTGGCAATGATCTTGGGACTTGACTCATGCTGCATTTGCAGTTAGTGTCCGGTCATAGTCGCTACCCACAGGCCTTCCCCATGACTTCTCTCTGTTTTGCTAAAAGCAAGAATGGATTCTGTCTGAGCACCTCTGCGGGTGTATATATACTGCAGGCATATAAGAATTGTATGTATGATGAGGAACTACAGTAAGAGCAGCGTTCCAGATAGTACAAATCCAGCACTCTCATTTTGGGCCAAACACATGCAGACTGGATGTGGGATCAGCAGATACGATCCTGCCTCCCTTCCACACGCACATTAAGTGTCTGCAGGGGTGCAAGGTCAGAACAGAGCTAAATGGTGACCTGCTGAGCTTTTTGGCTTGGTGGGGAACCAAGTGCTAGAATGCCTGGCATCACCACCCAGGACGACATGCTCTCAGTTTCTTCTCCTTAACCACAGAATAGAATCATAGAAGAGTATTATTATTATTATTATTATTATTATTATAACATTTCTATGCCGCCCCTTGCCGAAACCTCGGGGCGGCTTACAACACGGTAAAATACATTGAAATACAATAGCACATAATAAATTACCATTAAATACAAAAATACAAAAAATACATTGATTTACAAATATAAGATTAAAATTATCAGTATAAATTAAGAGTAGAGTAGGAAGGGGCCAGAAGGCCATCAGGTCCAACCCCTTGCTATTGCAGGTCACTAGGTTACACCATCCCATTCAGATGACTGTCCAGACACTCTCTGAATGTCCCTAGTGAGGGAGAGCCCACAACTTCCCCAGGTAATAGCTTCCATTGTCATATTGCTTTGACAGTGAAGAAATTCTCCCTGGTGTCTGGTCTAAATCTGTTTTGTTTTGTTAGTTTTTTTTAAACATAAGTCCATAGTTCCGTGTCCTGCACTCTGGAATGAACAAGAAGGGATCTTGTCCTTCCTCTTTGTGACAGCCTTTCGGGAAGTTTAACTCTAGAAAAGCTACTCATGACTACCAAAGACTAACCTGCAGTAATTTTGCAACAAGTCCATACACAACACTGGCCAATTCTCTATCCAGACAACAGTGTTTCAAGACAAATAGCGTCAGCCATACACGGATGGGCCCCTTAGTTGTTCATCCTCTAGGAGGACTTGCCATGCCATGCCAACAATATTCTTCTGCATTGTCCCACATAGGAAGAACAGGTTGGTCTTTATGTGAAAGAAGAAACAGAGACAAACCTGACATTAAAAAGGCAGCGTTCAGAAGACAATGGGGGAGCTGAGCTGTGCACCAGCCATACCAATGGAGGGCATGCTGCTGGTGAGCTGAAAGCCTTTATTGCTGAACAGCAATACTTCAAAGGGAGACTCCCGTATGAAATGGCTGGACTAGAATTAATCAGTTCTGTTTAAGGTCTCAATAACAACAGTAGTTTTCTTTAGAGGGATTAAAACAACACCACAAAATTAGGAAGTTTGTGTTATCCCCTGTTATGGATTTACTGTACTTACCTTGTATACATTTACATTTTCTATGGGATGCTGACATACCAAATGTACTCTTCAAGCTCTTTTATCTGTTCTGCTTATATATTTGTTTTGAGATTCTGATTCATTAATTTGATGGAGAGGGCTCTAATCCACAAATGTGCATGCCACAAATACATCTCTTAAGGTGCCACAAGCCTCTTCTGCTTTGCTTTTAAAGCCAAGAGACATCTGATTACATACACACGACTGCACATCATGGCTGCAACAGTAATTCTTCTTACTTTTTTGTATGATTTTAAAAACAAACAGTACAGCAAAGAGGTAGCAAGTATCTATAACCTGAAGTGAGTTAACAGTTTAAAATGTACAAACATGAGTTTTGATCTTGGTTTATTACACAGTAGAGAGCACATGTTAATTTAGTTTCTTCTAGATAAAATGGGCTGTTTCAAATAGTCCCAGACATTTTTTTCCCCTTACCAGTCATATTTCGGCTACTTACATAAGGAAGACAAACGGGCTTAGCAAAAGGGCATTTCCCTCCAAAGAAGCAAGCTGCAGGCCACCCAAGAGGCAGACTGGAAAGTTAGCACAAGACTTCACTCAGCCAGAATGCAGTAAGCTTAGAATGTGAGAAAGGAACTGTGCATACAGTTGATAACCTGCCATCTCCTATTATGACATCCCAAATGCAATCCTTTACCCACTTACTTGGGATTAAGCCCAGTGAACTCAATGGGACACATTGTCTAAATACACATGTATTTTACTTCAAGAGCCTTGTAAAGGGACGGTCTGTGAGCAGAGGTTTGCCTTTCTATCACGATATCACAGCAGAATATCAATAGCTGCATTATCTGTAATCTACATCCAGGCAGAAACTAAATCTCCAGATGTTTTGGATTTTGGTTCCCAGAAGCCCTTGCCAGCATGGCCAATGGCCAGAAATGTTGGGAGGTGAAGTTCTAAACTGTTTGGGGTACTTTCTGTCCATCCCTGTCCACACTACAGTTGTCTCCTATGCCCAATAAACACTACTTAAAAGAGTCGCCACATGGCTACAAAGATGTGTCTTTTGTTGGCCACATGGCCAAGAGTGATGTCAAGGGAGGATCTGTGACCATTTTTGTGGTTTGATGTCTTTGAAAGTTTAGTGAACTCTTATACAAACTCCCCCACATGTCATTGAACTGTGCTATGCTCCAAGAGGACCTTTTTCATGTTAAAGCAGCAATAAATACATTTAGTTCTGCACAATGTACATATTCCTTCTGCTAACTTAAAACGCATATAGGGCTACTTTTTCAGTGAACACACAGCCAGCCTTCTGGAGAGGAAATCTGCGAGTTTCCTCTAGAATGTTGAAAGCTTTCATGTGTTCAGCGGGAGAACTTGATCCTGTTAGGCCGAAGACTCAGACCGCCTTTGTTTCTTATATTTGCGGGTGGGTGAGAATTTGACAGCTACAACTTCACAAGCTAGCAGTGATATCTCTATCCGGTCACCACACCATTCAAGAACATAATATACATGTCACTAGAGATAGATTGTATGTATGTATGTATCAAGTAGATTTATATACCACTTACCATGTTTAAAAATATCTCTGGGAGGAGAAAATGAAGGCAGCGTTTTCTCGCCGTTTTTTTCCAAATGTTCCGGCATCCTCAGGTTCTAAGCGCCTGTGAGAATTCAGCAAGGTAGGTAATAAATGCAGGAAGCAATAGGACAGGAGGGGGAATTCTTTTGGTTCTAAAATATGCTAAGACATTAACAGCACCTGGTGTGCTGAGAGCTAAAACTGTGTTATCTTCTTGCAGGTTCAGAGAACTGTCTTGAACAGAAGCTGAAAATACCCCGTCGGAGGTGTCAGCAGCCCAAAGTGCTGAATAGCCCCGAGGACAACATGTATTATAACCAGTTAAATGTGAGTTCAAAGTGGCAATAAAGCCATTTTACTGGCTTTGTTTCCAGTTAATAATTTTGTTATTAATACCTGTTCCAACCCCTCCAGCTCCACCCCACACCCCACGGCCCCCTCCCCATGACGTTCTTCAGCTCTCATCTTGAACATGTGCTTATGCTCTTTATCTGTTGCTTTCATGTCAGGATGTCTGCCTTCACGGTGAATAATTGATGTGGTTTATCAAAGACGAGCAAGATGCATGCTTCATCAGGCTCGCTTGAGCCCTTTGATCAAAAAAATTATGCTGTGACTTCTGATATTATCAGCATCTGCTTGCATTCAACACAAAATCACTTTGAATTAAAAATTAACGACTTGCTGCTTTGCTTTGACTGTGTGTTCTTGGCCCTCTCCACAGGGAACTCTAGAATATCAAGGGAGCAAGAGGAAGCCAAGAAAACTTGGGTAAATATCTATCTTCTTAGTTCTAAGCAACTGTAAACAGAAGAAGTCCTTTGTGATATTACAGAAAATGCAAAAACTTTCTAGAGACATTTCTCAAAATAAACTCAAACCTATCCCTGTATAGCAACTTTGGGCATTTTGCTGCAGAAGCAAATGGAAAACTTGCATCTAATGTGGCCTGTATCACTGTGGGAGCTGTCATTTCAGGGGCTGAGGGGAAGATTCTTCTCAACAGGATGCAGGAAAACATTTATTTGCCTTTGTTTACAGTGGGCTTGAGACTGTTGTTAGCCGCGAAGTCGTGTCCGACCCATCGCGACCCCATGGACAACATTCCTCCATTCTTTCCTGTCCTCCACCATCCCCCAGAGTCCACTCAAGCTCACACCGACTGCTTCAGTGACTCCATCCAGCCACCTCATCCTCTGCCGTCCCCTTCTTCTTTTGCCATCTATTGTTCCCAGCATTAGGCTCTTCTCCAGGGAGTCCCTCCTTCTCATTAGGTGGCCAAAGTATTTGAGTTTCATCTTCAGGATCTGGCCTTCTAAAGAGCAGTCAGGGTTGATCTCCTCTAGGACTGACCGTTTTGATCGCCTTGCGGTCCAAGGGACTCGCAGGAGTCTCCTCCAGCACCACAATTCAAAGGCCTCAATCCTTCATCGCTCAGCCTTCCTTATGGTCCAGCTTTCACAGCCATACATTGCAACTGGGAGAACCATAGGCTTGACTATACGCACTTTCGTTGGCAGGGTGATGTCTCTGCTTTTTAGTATGCTGTCTAGATTTGCCATAGCTTTCCTCCACAGGAGCAAGTGTCTTTTAATTTCTTGGCTGCAGTCCCCGTCTGCGGTGATCTTGGAGCCCAGGGCTTGAGACTTGTCATGGGCTAAGAGGCTTGTGGAAGCAGATACCTGCAAGCTGTGAGCACAGACACCACCCCCGGAGCAGCCATCCCCCTGTTCCCTGCATGGACGAGAGACAGGACAGAAAGTAGTGGCACCCCAAATGAGGCAGTCCTTGTCCATTCATTCCTGCCTCTTGGCTAAGAGCTGCTTTATATGTGATCTTGTCCTTTTAACCCAGAGGCAATATTCTTGAAGGGAAAATGGGATGCATTGCCACTGATGAAGTGTCTCCTGTTTATTATCCAGCAAGTCCCCGAATCCATCCCCCGAAAGCATGCTAAAAACATCATACATATGGCGGTGGTCATGAGGATGATGATTTAACCTGAGCCCTCAAAAGCCACCCCAGATAAACTGATCTCACAGTGCTTCCTAAATACAATTCAAGTTCATATCATGTAAGTGGCTTATGTTAGGATGAGCATATTCCAACCCCAATGTTCCCACGAACGTCCCGTAACAATTTTATTGATTCTTTATAGGGGGGACGTGTTAGCAGTAAGTCCCATTGTTTTCCTCCTGTCCATAAAACGCAAGACTTCTGCTACAGAACAATGCCATGTGTATGGTGACCTCTTCATGCTATTTCAAAACAATCATTGATGCCGCTTTGCAAATAGTAAATAACTAAACTGTCGTGCAAGTGGAAGGGGCCTCCATCCACAGAAGGAGGGGATCCAATGTCTATCAGTTGTCATCATCACCCCCTTCATAAGATGCCACCCCTTTTCAAAGGGCCACCTGACCCGTGGTGAAGTTCTGCTATGGTCTTCAGACTGTGTGAAAAAGATTTTCAGTACTGGGACATCTGTCCCAGTCTGTGTGTGTGTGTGTGTGTGTGTGTGTGTGTGTGTGTTTGTGTATGTATGATTGTGTGATCATTTAAAAATCAACAGATATGACAACACTTTCACATAGTAAAGGGCTTGGAAGCATCGTTGGTCAGAAGCACAAATCTTGATTTTGCTTACACAGTTCAACGTCAATTAAAAACAGACTCTTGATGAATGATTTGCCATAGTACAGAGTGGTCCTTACAGTAGCGCAGGAAAACAGCTTCTGAATCAGGAAAAAGAAGGTCACTTCCCCAGGCTGCTGAGTTGCCATTGCTGTTAGGTTCACAGTAGTACTATGCCCTTTTACTAATCCTATGAAGTCATGGTTTCAGTGCCAGCTCTGAGTTTTGGAAGGTCTTGGGCGTGACACTGTCAGGAGTCCCCCTCCATCAGTGTGGCTTCCTTCTCACCACCACTGGTACTGGCTGCTGTTGCTTCTCCTCTTTTCCATCATGGCTGCCACTTGCTTGCTTGTCTAGGAAGGGAACCAGGGAGGAGGAGGCAGGGGCACTTATGGCTGCTGCTTCTCACCACTGCCACCACAACCATGGTCCCAGCCAGAGCAAGAGGCAGATAAACTTGCAGGATGCCAAGGTGAAGAGGAGCAGAACTCCAGAGGCTCTTGCCAGTGGAAGGGTAGGCCCAGCCATGCCTGGCCTTGACACCAACCCCACATGGGATCAGAACAGGGATTCCCTTTCCTGAATGTGAGGCCTGTAGATTTCCCATGCTCTAACTGAGAGTCTGATCACATGCCCCCTGCAAATTGAAGTCTAGAAGCGCCATAACTCAAACATAACACACTTGTGACCAGTTATAGGAAGACAGTGCAGAAGACCTGGCAGCCGTGAGACATATCCCTTCCAGGCGAGCTGGATTCTTCTTCACCAGCCCCAGCCATTCATCAGGCGCAAGGCTGTTTTTGTTTCACCATCCATTTGTTCCCATCAAATGCTGAAAAATTTGAAGCACCATTGGTGTGGTTTGTGTTTTCTTTTCCCCCTAGGCAAATAAAAGTGCTGGATTGGGAGGATGAGTATTACAAATCATTATCAGCTGTAGATTCCATCACAGAGGAAGACAACTCAGTCCAAGCCCTTCCTTCCTCCAGAGGGGTGTCCTTTTAGAGCTGAACTTTTGCTGCTTAGCTCCTTTGGTGCAATGCTGGTAAGAAATCTCACATATGTTTCTCATTTCTGCCGCGTGTGTGTGTGTGTGTGTGTGTGTGTGTGTGTGTGTGTGTGTGTAAATGGTGCACATATGTGCATTCTCAGGACAGATACAGCAAATGCTGGCATGTGCCATGCAGTTTTTGCCAAAAAGCTAAATATGGATATAAATTTTGGCAACCTCAGTCTTAAAATTGTGCGTCATTTCATAGCAGATCATTATCCTAACTCAGAGGTTGGTGACCTGGTGCCTTCCAGGTATTTTCAGCTATAGCTGTCAGAATCCCCGACCTTTGGCCTTCCTGACTGGGTATGATGGGATTTGTAGTCCAAAATAGCTGGCAGGAACCAGCTTACCTACCCCTTCCTGTTCATGTGGTACAGCATGGGTTCTGATGGCTCTCAAATTATCAGAACGGTGATTGCTTTATAATCAGAATAGATGACACAGCATGGGGAGACAGCATTTTGAGGACTCCGGAAACTGGAGTTGGCTTATACAACTAGAAAGAATTAGCATGGTGGTGCTGGTGGTGGTATGGAAAGTAATAACCATTTAAAATGCTGAATGTGTGGTTTTAGACTTTATCTTGCAAAAGAGTATGCTGTGACAGGACATGTGGCTCTTATTTCCCCAGAGGAGAAAAAAAAACATCAAAAGCTGAAATGGTAAAACAGTTAATAGCATATTACTAAATCACTTAACTTAGCATTTTATAATGTCCTTCTGACAGAAGTTAGTAATAATAAGATCAGGGTCAATATGATGCATAACTAATTCTTTGGTCTACTGTATATCATTCACATTCAGGATCCCCTGCTTGGTCACACCAGTCAGGCCTATCTGGCCCAGCATCTCTTTCCCATGGTGGCCCTTTCAAGAACACACAACTAGGCAAGGAGACAAATGCGCCATGTCCCTCACTCGCCCACATAATGCAGCGACTGGTATTTAGGGGTGCATCACCTCTCATAATGGGGGTAACATAGAGCTACCACGGCTAGTGTGGTTGTTGATAGCCCCACGAATTTGTCCTCCTGCAAAGCTGCCTAGGTTGGTGGCCATCACCACATATTTTATCTATTTATTAAAACTGTTTCTAGATCACCTTTTAGGCAAGGTTTTTCAAGGTGTTTTCTGATCAAAATTCTTGCTGGTAGCAAATTTCATTATTTAACTATACCCCGTGTAAAGAAATAGTTTATCCTCCCTAAAATTTCTACCATCCACTCTCATTGGATGACCCTGGGTTCTACTAGTCTCCTCTTTCTTTGCATCATTCATAATTTTATGTACCTTTTGCCATATTTACCTTTAGAGAAGCTACCTGTACTCATTTTTCATCAGTTAAGATCTCAGTACTTCCCAACTATTAGATCCCCAGATGTCATTGGTCAACAACTCACATCCTTGCAGATGTCTTACCCTGTTGGCTTGAGCTGATGGGAACTGTCAGCCACATTCAAGGATCCAAGATTGGGAACCACCAAGTTAGATCAACATGTGACAATCATAACCGACACTATGAAGTTTACAGGAGCTGAACAATTTGCAGTTCCTCCCAGGGCCCAGCCATCCAAAATGTAGAATGAGGTATTTCAGCACCCCTATACTTTTTCCGTTCTCTCACACTGAATGCAGCCCATCCAGGGCTTCTTATAGTCATGTATGCTGGCTTGCCAGGGGCTGGATAAAAACCACTTGTTTCTGCTGGCTTCCGGGTACTGCAAAAACAGAGGAGGAAGCCTGATGCACCAGACTTCCCTGGAATTTGGGCTGCGTTTGCTTTTGAAGGCCAAATAATGAAGGCTTTGGCTGGTAATTTTGGCTGAAGTCTTAAACAGACTCACTAGAAGGTAAATCCCATTGTGTAGATTTGTCAGCATGTTCTGGTTCATGGATGGGGCATGTGTGGACTTCAGCTGTTGTTGGACCGTAGAGCTTGTCATCCTTCACCACTGGATCTGCTGGGTAGGGCTGAGCAGAACTGCACTTCCTCAACAGCTGGGGAGCCACACCTTCTGCATTCCTGTTCTAGGTTAACTATGCAATCCTATAGATGCTTACTCAGAAGCAAGCTCCACTGAATTATTTCCAGGAAAGTAAATATGTATAGGATTGCAGTAGGACTGAGTGACTTACAGCAGAGTACATCACCTTTTGCTTCTGATTCCTGGTGGTTTCACAGAGTCTTTTAGACATCCCTTTAATAATAACCACAGCGAGTGTGAGTTGCTGTTGAAATGTGGGCTATCATGCTGACTGAACCATGGTGCTCTAACAAGCCAAGGCCTGTTACCCATGGGGACTACCCATGTTTTATTGCTGGGTTGTGAACTGTGGATTGATCACCTTGGTTTGTTATCTTGACAAAGCGATGGCCTGTGTTTCAGCAACCAGCCATGGTTCAACACATACTCAACTCTTAAGTCGGTCACCATGTTGTCTGAACCAGTCACTTAGTGACAGCAGTGGCAAGTGTGGGCTGATGGCCCAGTTGTACAACCTTTGTGCCTGAAGTGTGCCTCACGGCACCCAATGTGTTCTAGTGACATAATGGAGCGGTGCCCTTGCAGAGTTCCTGTCTATTTGAGCTGTGGGGATCAGCATGGCACCTACCCATGCAATTTGATGTAGGAGTGTCCTGCTCAAATGAGGGGGTCTTCAAGTCTCTTTCACTGTGAGCCCAGATGTTCCTGAAAGCCACACTCAGGGGAGGTTTTGCATTGATTTCTAAAATGCTGTAAAGGAGTGGATGAGAAGCAGCCGCAAGTGCTCTGAGGCAGTTTGAACCGATAGGCTGGGTTGGCATTGCTGCTGCCGACTGCCTCTTCCTTACCCCTCCTTTTCTGCCCATTCTTTTGTAAATAAGTGGATTTTTTTTTACAAGGACCCTGTAAACATCATCCTGATCTTCCACTGCTCAAGAAAGTGGCATGAAAATGTTTTAAATGTCAAGTATGAGTCAAGAAGGGAATCTCTCTGAACATCCATTTAGCAGAAATGTCAGGCCTTTGCCATCAGCATCCATTGAGTAGGATGTTGGGGGGGGGCAGGGGGAGGGGTTGAGCCAAGTGTTGGAGCTGTGCAGTCAGTCCTGAAGGTCAAACCCAGTGAATGAACCCAGAGTGGGAACAAGCCAGGAAGCACTATTGTTGCTTTGATGAACATACCCTGAAAAATAAATCATTATGCCTTTCGCAGTTGAGCAGAGCCAGTGGAATGAAAGCCCTCTAGAATCTGAGAAAGCTTTACTGCCCAGGGAGAGGCTCCATTCCATCCTTCTCCAAGTACCCTCCAGATTGGACTACAGCTCCCATTATTCTCTGCCAGCACAGCCATTGACCAAGTTGGTGGGGAAATGCTGGAAGTTGTAGTCCCAGCCCTAGACATCCAGAGGAAACTGGGTAGAAGAAAATCCTTAGCCCTGGTGGGTCCCCACATGGAGTACCAGTGCGCAGAGCTGCAGCCTCCTGCTGTGTCTCTAAGGACTCCTGCTAGACCGTAACAGCAGAGCAGGCATCCTTGGGTCATGGGAGGAATGCCACTCCGGGTGGAACAACCATGGGCAGCTTCTGTATGCAAGGGACTCACAAGGACTTGGTTCAGGCACATGTGGCTTGCAGGGTCACATGCACTGAGTGAGCATATTTCAACCCGGACAAAAGCCTATTTTGCTCTCCATTTCAAAGCAATGTTAAGCCTCAGTGTACTTGAACAGTACAAGCGTAAGTGTCTGAAGACAAAGTCCATCATCAAACAATTCTGAGACATGTTTTAAAAGGCAGCCCAAAAAATACCTGGAAACAGCTTTTTATTTTCTCTCAAAATCATTGTTAATTTATGTAATTTCCATGGGAGTTTTAGCTCTCTGAACAGTGAGCATTCTTTCAGACATAGAAAGATGAGATCCCAAATGAATTTCTTCTGTGATTCTGAAATTCTTTGCAAGCCTTACTATAATGTTGCTATAGGTTATAGACTGAGCACTATATTAAGACCACCACCTTGTGCCATGATTTTCAGTTTCAGTTGAGACATCTCCTTGTGTTGGAAGTCCAGCTCAGTTCAATGGCTCTAGTAGAAACCCCATTTGTTTGTGCTGGCAATGCACCTGATTTTCTCTGATCCACCCACCCACTGCCGTTCCCAGTGACCACTGAAAAGTTTCTCCTGAAGATTTGGGGAACCTGCACAAGTGTCTCTGGCACAGAGGGCTATAGTAGGTGTTGGGGAAGTAACAAAACTAGATGCTTTGCTTTGTGTGCAAGAAGAAGCCATTCCCACTAGTGTCAAGCCGTCAATAATATATTTAGAGACTTCTTGTTTCTTAAAGTCTTGCATCCTCTATTCAGTTAACTTCCATATCTTAAAAGCATATTATAAAGATTATAAGCATATGAAGCTGTTTTGCAAGCAGCAGTGTAGAGGACCCAGTGCTTCCAGGGTCAAGGGGTACACACCCTTTGATTAGCAGAAAAGTCCCTGCTGCCTCCTTCAGGCTTCCCTGTTTCCTCTGAGTTTAGCTGGAATCCAGGAAGCACTGGAGGAAAATGGATTTTTCTAGCAATGGTTTTGTGACTGTGAATCAACCCCGTTGTAATGCAAAATATATTGGGGGGGGGGGTCTTAAATGGTTCAGATGCATTAACTTTACAGAAGACCTACGGAGGACATCTTTACCATACAGATGAATCAACACAGCTACTTGTGGTTTTGGACTCTCCTGGGGGGCATGGCTTGTAGGGACTGTCATGATGAGCCCCTGCACATCAGACAGACTAATATGTGGAATAAGAAGTCAGCATATTAGTATGTCTAGCCTGAGGCTGCCTACTCTGACTGGCACTGGTTCCTCATGACCCCAGGGAGAAGTCTTTCTGAATCCAGGTGCCTCAGCTCTGGAGGAGAGATGGAAATTTGGCTGGGATGACTCTCAGTGTTGCTCCATCAAAGG